GGAAGTTGGGGAACGGCCCAGTTCATTCACTCAGTGGAAAGGTGTAAACTAGATCAAAGTAGATGTGCGCGTATGTGTGTTTCACATTGTTTGTGGGTCGTGTTTGTGTTTTTATTTTGACTTGGGTGGCATAAAGGAAGCTGCAACGAGTCGGTCAGGGGGGCTCTGGGGTTGCAAGGAGGGGGTCTTTTCCAGCCCTGTCTGGAGATGCCAAGGATTGAAGCCTGCCTTCTGCATGCGCCGCAAGCATTCCCAGTGAGCTCTGGCCGTTCCCCAGTGTTTCCTTCTTGGACATCTGGGGTGAAAGCACAGGAGGCTTTGGCATCTGGGAATGATTCAAGTGGATTTGGAGGAGTTTGGCAACACGCCCTGCCTCTTGGAAGGAGGCGAGCATCCACAAGGCCTGGAAGGAATGGCTACCACTAAAAATACTGCTCTGGTGGGAGTGTGTGTGTGTGTGTGTGTGCACGCGCACACGATTGAGAGAGAGAGAGAGAGAGAGAAAGAGTGGCGCCATCGGAAATAGCTGCCTCGTCTTCCATCGGCAGATATGACAGCTACAGCTACAGCCTCCCATGCCCTGCTCCACCGCCATATTTAGTATATTTACAGCCCACCATTCTTCCTGCCAGGAGTCCTGGGTAGCTGACCCAATCTTCTTCTTCTTCTCCATTTGATCTTCATGAGAACCCTGTGAAATAGGCTGGGCCGAGAGTCCATGAATGGCTCAAAGTCGTGGTCAAGTGGGCTTCATGGCCAAGTGGGGAATAGAACCCAGATTTCCGGAGTCCCAAGCCAGGACTCAGACCACCACTCACACTGCCTCTCCATGGTCTTCTCACTCCGTCTGACTTCCCAGCTTGCACTGTTCAGAGGGTCCCCCTTGGCATCTGAATCTGATCTGTGGAGAGCAGAAATAAGACTGCAGCCCTAACCCCAGCCCTCCCCAACCCCGTGCCTTCCAAAGCAGGGTGGCAGAGCCCTGTTCACATGCAGAAACTTGCAGGTTCAGTTCTCAGCAGCACTGCCAAGCATGGCTCTGGACTTAGATGGACCAAGGCAGGTGGTTTCCTATAGAGCGGCTTTTGTGTCTCTACATACGTTGGGCAACGAGGTTGGGGCTGATGGCAACTGCAGCCCGTGGCCTCTAGAGGGCGCCTGGTTGGGGCAGGGACTAGACCCACTGCTTCGGGAGGAGGCCCCTTGAAGGCAGTCAGTGCTGTTATGTGCCATCGAACCATCTCCAGTTGATGGTGATGTGAGTGGAAGCCCTCCAGAAGGTCTTGTCCTGCTCAGCCCTTGTAAATTCCAGGCTGCAACTTCTTTTATGGAGTCCATCCATCTCTTATTCGCTCTTCCTTTTCTTCTCTCTACCTTTGACGTTCCTCAGCATGATTGTCTTCTCTGGGGAGCCTTACCTTCTCACAGTGTGTGCAGAGCACGAAAGCCTCAGTCACAATAAACGCACAGAGAACCAGGTCGCAGGAACGTGGGCTGAAAGCAGCCGCTTGGCTAGGAAGCAGGCCGGCTCAGTTCTGGAGACTCGGCTGTGCTCCGATTACAACCTGGAGTCCTGCATTTGCAGGTGCAGATTTGCAGCTACAGAACAGCAATCTCTCCGGCCTATTTCAAAGCCCTCCTGGTCCAGAGGCAGCACCAAATGCCCCCCAAGCAGACATCCTAACACTCGGTTTTCTGCATAGGACATGAAGAGAGCCAGAGCCAAAGAAGCAAACAAAGCTCTCCGGAAAAGAAATCTTAAAAGAACAGGATAAAAACATCACTGCTAAATATTGCACCTCTGAGACCTCAGTGCCAAGGTGTTCTACCCAAGGCTATTTTATGCAACGTTCCGGGTTCTTTTTTAACTTCGTGCTTGAAGCGATATATTTTTGGTTCCCAAAGCAAACACACGTCACCCCTCACCCCATGGGCTCTCCTTCAATCTCTGCAAATGAAAGGTTCAGAAGAGGCCGAGATCTTTGACTTGGTTGGTCTGTGGTCAGTGGCATCTCCTCCCCCAACCACTTTGAGAGGCTGACCCCTGAATTATAAGGGGAAGAAAGCATCGCAGTGGCCAGCAATATTTTTGGGTTCCTGTGTGAAAGCTCCTGAGAGTCTGAGCTGCCAAGTCCTTAAGTTCCCAGGAAGTTAGCTTGCCATAAATCGCAGAGATTTCTTCTTTTCCTCTCATGAAAAGGGTTTTTTTACTTAGAGATTAGCCACCCTGCTGCAGGCCCGATAGATTTAAATCACCCCTGAACCCGGCAAATGAGTTGTCTCCCTCCCCCGTTGAATATTTTTCTGGGATAATCCCGTAGCGTCATGCTTGGGACAGGCATTTGAGCCCTGGGCTTGTAACTAAACAGGGCTTATATAAAGGCCGCAGCCATAATGATGATGTTTGGTTCTGCACTAAGGAATTAGCAGCTTTGGAGGGCAGCTGCAATTATGAAATTAATGGCTTTTGAGTTGCGAATCTGTACACTTCTAAAGGAGTTCACCTGTCAACATAAGCACTGTGTCATATATGAGGGTTGATGAGTACTGGGTAACACACACCCAACATCATAACTGCATTGTGTTATCACCGTTGGTACGAATTCGTTGTTAGTGACTTAAGGGCACAATGCTGTCTGCTTTTAGACAGAAGACGCATCCTCCAACTTGCAGCATTCCCTATTCTGGCTGAGGAATGCTGGGGGTTTAGGACTTTTGCTGTCTAAATGTGCATAGAATCGTGCCTTTAATTCAATGAACCAGTCCTTGCAACACTACAAATGGTTAAGAAAGGTTCTCCGTGGTTCAGGACTAAAGGACAGGTTATGCTAAATACGTGCTTTAGAGTTACCCCTCTGGTGTTCGGGTTACTCACAAGTAAGTGTGTAGCACGCTTGTCCTGCTTGGGACCACCACGCATGAGGAGTGGGGGTTCAAACCATTCCCATCTGATTCTTCCCTCCCACCACGGTGCTGCACAGGGACAGGGGTATAGCAAGAAAAGAAATGATCCATCGGCACTCATGGAAATCTCCCATCCGACTGCATGGTGGTCCCGATATGCTTGCTTCTGTCTGAGTCCTGAAGGAGCAGAGGAGCAGTAGGTCTTGAATGCAGCATATAGGTTCGGCCCATAGCATGGTGCCTGAATAGAAACGCCATGGTTTGCAATCAGCTAGCTGGAGGGAGAAGCTAAGATGTGGCGTGGATGTGCAAACCGTGGTTTGTGCTAACTTGGGTTTGGCAAGAGATCTGAGTTGACGAAGCCTGGGTAACAGGCATTGCCCTGCCTTCAGAGACTGCTGCGCCTTGAGCGCTGAGGCACCAAACCAGAATTTGCAGCCATAACGCCATAGCGCCGTGCTTGAGCAGCAGTGGCCTGCACTTTCCCTACCCTTCCTCATTTCTGTCCGTACTGCCTAAATTAACTTGCAGGTTCTCTGCACTTCACTCAGGAGTCCAAATGCCACAAGCACTGGTCTATTGATTACCTGCAAATGCAGCTTTTCCCTGGATTTTGATGCTTTCCCAGTAGCAGCCCAGCAAGTTCCTGACTTCCGTTTCACTTCCTCCTATCCCTGCAACAGGAATGTAAGGATCAAAAACTGCTGAACATGTCACCAAGGTGCTCCTGATGTTGATGGCCTCCGCCGTTGCTGCTAGACTTTCCTAGAGGGCCGCCAAATCAGGAAAGGACAAGGGCGTGGATGCTAAGGAATGCCCATGGGCTTCCCTTAGTCTGAGTCCTTTGCAGACAAAAACAGCTGCTCCAGAATATTGTGGATAACTGTGAGATTCTCCAGGATTTCCTCTTCTCTCGCCCCCTGCTAAGTTTCTAGCAGCATGCATGCAGATGCATTTTGAAAGAGCAGAGTGGAATGATGTCTGATTTGCGGGGGAATGGCAGTCACAGAATGATCTGTCCCAGATTTTGGTGGTGACGGAGGTTCTGGGAGACAGCGCTCACTTGGGCAGTGTGTTTCACGCGTCTTTCTTCTGCTAACCTGGCATCGTCCTGACTGGGTGCGTTGCCACAGGTATTTTGCAAGCAGTGCCTCACCTGGCAGGTTGGAATTCACCATAGGGGCATGTAAGCCGAGATGATGGGGCTCTCATGGAATGGCAGCTTGCTGAGAACCACTTTTGCTCCACTTACTAAACCCAGCTACAGAAGAGAATACCTGAATTTGAACAGCAACGCATGGAAAGCTGACTCCATTCCAAATGCTGCACCTTTGCTCAGAAATCGCCCAGCACTGGAGAGACCCTGTTTAATCAGCACCTTCCATCGCTGCTGTTTGCAGTTGGCAATGTAACCAGGGGTTTTCCGTGTGCGTTCATTACCACTGAATCTCTGGCACCGTTTGTCCTGAAGCTCTTAAAACCGTCAAGTGTGTCTCCTTTCCGAGAAGCTGCCTGCTCACTTCTTGCTCTCCCTGCAAATCCATAAGGAATGCCAGATTAAAATTCTGCATTGGATGGCTTGCCTTTCTGAATTGTTTAAACATATTTGTTCGTTAATTTGATTTTCAAAAAGAGCATTTAAGTATATCTTGGGGCACCAAACATCCTGTTTGGAGCCATTTTTTACTGCTCTTGAAAGGATTGCATGGAATCAATCGGTGGCTCACTGAGACCTCTAAGTAAATCTTGTGCTTAAATACTTGCATAGTGTAGCTGGGGGTGAGAAGAAATTAGAAGCGACTGGGCTGGTGGCAGTAGAATGGACCGCTCCGCCCCTCCCTATGCCCAGCATAGACCCCAAGCGGGCTGCTCAAGAGGGATGCTTGCTCCTGTATCCTCAGCACAGGCTGCCCTGGGTTGCTGCAGAAGGTAGGAAATTGTGTGGGCCGAGCATTTTTATGGATGCTCTTGCAAGGCTGCAGTCCAGATGGTTGTGTTCAGGATGTGTGATAGGCTTTGTGGCTTTTTAAAATGCTTGAAAGATCCCGCCGAGTGGGCATAGACTGTCGAAGTTCCTGACATCCTTCTCTTCACAGGCGTGGACCTTGGATGCTGACGTAGCAAAGTGCTGAGGATGGACGTGATCGAATGGAGATGAAGTTACCGTGCCTGGGATTTGAATATATCGGGGGCTTTCTTGGAGGATTGCTGTAATTTAGGTAAGTCGCACTTTTGGGGTCCTGTTCTCCCATCGTGGGCTGGAGCCGCCCCAGACGCTGTGGAGCACAGAACATAGACTTGGTTTAAGCTGCCTTGACACGGTTTGTGTACATTTTTGTGGAGGCCTTCCCTGAGAAAGAGCTGGGACTCATTTTCCTTCGCATAAGAAGTGATGGCTTTGAGTTCACCGTGTGATAAGAATCCAGGCACCAGCTTGTGTGCGTTTCCTTTTTGGGACTCCAGAGCCCAGGAAAAAGCGGAGCTGGGAAGCCGCTTTGTTAAGCTTTGTGCCTTTCCCCCATGGGACAATATGACGGTGGAGAGCGGCTCTTCTTTTTTGAGCGGGGGGGTGATGCATTACGTTGACGCTGCAGCCCACATCAGAAGAGGAACCTGCGCTCGATGGAGCACAGGTGGCTGGAGGCATCTGCCCTTCCATTCAGGTCTCTGTAGAGCTGGCTGGGTTTGGCTCTCCAAGCCACCGTTGCTCACATAGGCCACCCCACCGCCTTGCCCCATTGTAACATGTGTTTAAAATGTCTCAAGTAACGGCCGAGCACCAAAGTGTCAAAACACGCGTGTATTCAAGCCAGCGCTGGCCCTGTGGTGTTGCGGAGGAAGCACAAAGCACTGAAAGATGAAACGAGCTTCAAAATGGCCTGTTTTGGGGTGGGGGCTTGCCTTTTAACATGGTTTTCCTTACCATGGCAGGGGGCGGGTGTTGCATACCCTTTATGCAGAGCAGTGCCAAGAGGTTAATGCGGGGCATGAGAGAAAAGGCCTGGGGTGGACTTTTGAGGCCGAGCGTCCTCTTTTGCGGGCAGGGCTCTTCCATATCTTGGCCCGCGCAGGATCCACAGCCTGGCACAGAGGAGCTTTTAGGGTCCCCTCTCTGGGCTGGGCCCGGGGTGTGGATGGGGTGGGGGGCAGGCCCTGCTAGTCTCATGCGCCTGCTAGTAACTGGGGTTGGCTCCTGGCCCGATGGCCGTAGAACCTCATGATGATGGGCATGAATGTGCATGTGAACCTGTACCCTGTAACAAGCCACGGGTGTTGCAACTGGAGAACCACACACAGGAACACGCTGAGTAAAGGAGAAGTAAGAGGCAGCACCTCGAGAGGGCTGGTCGGAGAGGTGTCTGCAAGCAGTGCTTCGTTAGTCGTCTTGTTATTGTGAGTTCCTCTTCAGTGCTGGAAGAGATGTGCCACCACTTTTGCCTGAATGCAGATACAAGCATGTGTGGCTTTGTATTTGTTTGTTTGTTTATTTATTTAAAACTTTCCTATCCCGTCCGCTGCTGAGTCTACTGAGGTCTTGAGATGGTCTTTGTGGTGTGATCACACATCTGTGTACTGTTCAAGTCACCACACCGAAAAAAGGCTTATTGTAAAGTTGCAGAAAAGGGCAGCTAAAATGATCCCGGGGCTGGAGCAACCCCTGTGAGGGAAGATCGCCAGAGCTGGAATTGCGTAGCTTAGAAAAAAAGGCAGGTAAGGGGAGCCATGATGGAGGTGCTCAGAATTTTGCGTGGGGTGGGAAAGGTGGGGAGGGGGTCACTTTTCTCCCTCTCCCATCATTCTAGAGCCCAGGGAGGATACCGCAGGAAGCCGATGGGTGGGAGATTCTGGGCAGATGACAGGAAGGACTTCTTCACACGACTGTGGAAATCACGTCCTTGAGATGTAACGATGGCCTCCAGTTGGAGGGATCGGAGAAAGGCATGGGAGAGAAGGTTCTCAGTGGCTTCCAGGCGTGTGGCAATAGGTTGCCCTCCTCTTCAGAGACAGCATGTCTGTGCAGACCAGCGGCTGGGGACCTTGGACAGAAGGTACCTTCAGGCCCTCCTTGTGGGTTCCCTGGGCGGCTGGTTGGCCCCTGTGTGAACAGAGTGCTGGACCGAATGAACTGGCCCAACAGGACTGTTTCCACGTTTGGAAGTGTTAAATAGCCGGTTCCTTTTGCGTTTTTATTTCAGCAAATCCAGACATGAGTAGCACAAGGCAGCATTCATTGCCTTGAAGTGGTGATGTTCCTTTCATTAATTAACGTTGCTCCTTTAATGGCAAGCTCTTGTTTCCAGAGTTTCTAATAACAAATGTGTAGCTACACGTCTCCATTAGAGAAGACAATTGGGCTAGTGTAAGAAGGAGGAGGCAGAAGAAGGAGAGGAAGAAGGGGAGGAAGACCAACAATGGGTTGGATCAGTTCCATCAAGGAAGCCACGGCCTTCGGTTTACAGGGGCTGAGCAGGACTGTCAAGGTCGGGATTTTTTGAAAGGTGCTCGTTTGTAGGGTCACCATAAGTCAGAGATGATTGAGCAGCACGTAACACATTAGTTACTCACCCACAGCGAGTAGAATCCCCAAGTTACCGATCAGACAAGCAGGGAAGATGTTGGTTCTCTTGGGCAATATTATCATGGGCAGGCTTAGTAGATTTCATGACTTTCTTGCCAGGCTGTTCTAAACTGTAGATACCAATAGGGGGAAAATATTGGTGCAAGAAAGGTGACAATTATAGGCATTGGTGATGGTACCTTGGGTGGACACCGTGTAGTTGGCAAAAAGCATTTGGTCAAGTATTTGTAAAGTGTTCCTGTTATTATGCCAACATGAATCATCAGCAGGTTTGATGCTTAACCTAAGCAGGCCTTTGTAATGAACAACATTACTCTGAAACTATGAAATTAACTTTATGGATTGTGTGTTATCATTTAATGTGGGGTCAGGCTTCTGTTGAACGTTTCGTGGGATGGTTCTTCTCTTTGGACTTTAGTCTGGAATGCCGGGATCAGCCTCTGCAGTTTTGAGAATATATCATGAATCACACTAAGGCATAGCACCGGGGTGGGAGCGCGAAAACTGTTGTGCAAAGTAGAAGACAGCAATTCTTCAAGCCCATCCTGACTTCATGCAATAGTAAGCAATCAGTTAACAAAACTGGATCATTCAGCTGACCAGCTAGCCAGTTCTAAGGTATATTCCAGTTTTAGAAAGTCCAACTAGAAAATAGGAAACTATATTGTCTTAAGAATCTTGCTGCTGTGTGGTACAAGATAAAAGGCAAAATGCTCAGTGTTTTTCCCTAAAATTACAAAGCTTGTAGACAATGCTTTTAGCAGAACTACTATCCCTTTCTGCATCCAACAGTGGATGGATGTATTAAAAACCTGAACCTGGGCAGCATCAGTCGTATGCATCAGGGAAGCTGGGGTGCTGTGTGCTATTTTCGGGCAAAACTAAGTAGAATATGAATGGAAGAGAGATCAGAGGATCACCCTGGATTGGGCTGGGCTTTGAATTTCAAAGCAAGCTATTAAACCACATCAGAAATGCATTTCCAATAGCAGTGGAGTGGGGGAAACTCCTGAGGAGGTGAAAAAAGCTCCGTATTAGATCGGAACAGGGCTGAAAATGGTGGAGCTGGCGAAATGAGTCCCTTATGAGAGCTTAAATCCTAAATACTTCCACATGACCTCAGTTGCTGGCAGATGAAGGATAGCCTTTTCCACCGGGTGATTTTAAGACTGCTGGGTTGTGTGGGGATAGCAATGCTTATTCCTTCCCACTTTCCCATCTCTTTTCCGCCTGGCCCCATGAGTACCCAGCCCTCAGATTTCTGCCTGAGGAGTGATGCTTAGGAGCCCTTCCTGGTATTCCCAGGAGGTGGAATTATCATTGGGATTGACGTTGGCTTGGACGCGGCTGTGGAGGGGTGCGCGCCATTCATGGTTCTTCTCTCAAAGATAAGAGCATCCATGCTCTTGAAAAGATGACGTCTGTTGTGCGCATGAACCACTTGTGCCGATTGATACTGTTCCCATGAATCAGGGGGAAAGGGACTTCCCTGCCCTGCCCTTTTCCCCAGGACTTTGCATCACCGGCTGCTCTTAACTGGAAACCTCTTAAGCAGAAGCTGGATGGTCCCTTTCCCCAATTGCCACCTCCAAGGAAGGCTTGATTGGTAGCAAGAAGGACCTCCTCAGTGGTGGCCCCCAAGTTATGGGGCAGGCTTCCCACTGGGGACCACCTGGCACCAGTCTTAATATCCTGTCAGCGCCAGGTTCAGGCTCTCTTCTTCCAAAGGGCATTTAATTAGTTTAATGGGGCTTTGTTGGCTGCCTAAACTGGTCTTACGATTTGCTTTGTTCAAGCTGTTCTAATTCTTTATATGTGCTATTAATCTTTTACAAAAGTTTTACATTTTTGTGCGATAACTTTTTTATGTTGTTTTAATGTGGTTTGTATTTTATACTGTATTTTTATGTGTTGTAGTAAACAGCTCAGAGAACTTCAGCTGTTAAAAGAAAGTAAAGACTAGCAGTAAAGACTAATACACTCCCAGGAATGTACAGTTCTCAGCTTACATTCTTGGCCTGAAAGACACAACTGCTCCGGATGGCAATAGATCCTGTGATCTTGCCAGCTCTCGGGAATGTCACCAAGAAAATGGGAATCGCTTGTAATGCGCATGTATCCGTATCACTGCGTGATTAGGTTTGTATGGGATTCCTTCTGCACAGAAACAAAATAGCATTTCCTTGTTTTTGCGCTGTCCTTAAGGACAGAAATAGCATTTCCTTATTTTGAGGGTGTCCTTAAAACAAAAAAGGAAACTTCTCCTTTCAAGTTAGTTTGCAATACGTGTCTGGCTATCCTGTATATAGCAGCATTAGCCTGGAAAGAAATTTGGCTGGAAAGCTCTCCCTGGGACCCGTTGTCCATTTATTCCTGTGGCGAGATTGCAGGACTCTTCGGATGCCGCGCGATCTCCTGGGATTTCCCCCCGCACGCCCACCCACATGTAAACTGAACAGGTTTTCCTGGAAGCGGCACAAGCGAATCTCTGCTCCCGGTGTCCTTTCCGGGTGCGTGGGGACGATGCGGGCCACTCTGCTGAGTGTTCAGGAGGCGCGGTATTTCTCACAGCTCCTCTTGCGAGAGGCAGGCAAATGACCCCTGATAAGGATCGAGTTGGGCTGGCCGCTCTCCCACGCC